TTTATGTTCTAATACTTATAAAAGTCTTGATGTAGTTCATGTATCGATAAAATATCTGACAGTCGTCGTCTTCTCCTGTCGGATTAAGAAGACAAGTTTCAATATATGTTGTATAAGTTTTTTTTCACGATTTATTGTTGGGGAAGCTGTTAAACAAATATTTAGTTCTTTTTTGAGAAATTATTCTTGTGTATCAAACAAAATAGTCAATATAGTAAAAGTAAATTACTTCAGAAGAAATATTATCACGATTGAATGAAATATTACTATGGGGAAGACTGATAGTGTCTAAACAGCCCGAATAACCTTGAAGCTTTACTTGTAACTGTACCACCAAGACAAAATATCCCTTAAGTGTAAAAAAAAATATTGTTCCAAAAATCCTAGAATTTTGTTTGTGTTCATTATTTACAATCGAGCAATTTTTCGCCATCTACAAATTAATTTAAAATTCAGTATTTACGCAAATTAAATGGAATTTACAGTAGAGTAACTTCTCAAATAATGCTGAGGACTCATGAAGATTAAGCACTCAACCTCCTTTAATTTGATGAATAAACACTTAGTGCTACCAGGGGTTATGTGTTTGGTTAGGTTAGCTTTAGGATGTTTAAGGATCAAATGAAATAAATTGGGTGCCTAATTTTCACACTTGATATCACCATTATAGGAATACTTCGTTGTCACAACAAGTTTTGTATTATAGTTAAAAGGACCCATTAAGAATTAAAAATATATTTCTGTTTGTAATATCTGTATTCGTTTGTGTACAGATTATTTTTTTCAAAAGATTTAAAGACGAATTTATGATTTTGTTAAACTCTTTACCATAAAATGTATGCACTTAGGGGGTTCTGAATATATTACATGAATTAATGGTAAGCAGTTTAAAACCACTATATACGTATTCCTTACACAAGTATATATACACGTTACAAAAATAGGATGGTGTTACGTTGAACTTATGTTATTTACTGTTAAAAGAAAAAAATAATGTTACAATTTGGAATTATGCAGAGAATAAGTTTTTTTTTTTTTTGGTTGGTGTGGAAAAACCTTTCAATAATGGTTATCCTATCGATTATTTTGTTGAAAAGATTAGATGCTGGTTTCTTTTGATTTAATGAAATCTTCAACTGAAAATTCTGATATTGCTACTGTACTGAACAGATGTTGATCACTGGTTACCCCCTGAGATATAAATTTCTTATAAAAGAAACATATACAGAAAGTTGACTCATCCATTCAATCACTCCTAGTTGGTAAAGGAAGTAAAATAGAGTTTAAATGTCTTTAAGATAAAATGTTTAATTTTATCTATTGTGACGCTACTCAGGCGCAATTATTATTATATTTTCTGTGAGTTGTCAAATAATACGGCGTTTAAACTCTTCACTGCTTGTTTTGTTCTCTTTATTCAGTGAAGTTTTTATGTATTGTAATTGAATGTAGAGTGTTTTATATTTTTGTTTCAAGAATAAAGAAGTATTGTGCAGTGTATAACGTAAAGAACTGTTTTATATTATTTTTATGTGTAATAACAATATATAAGAATTTCGTTATTAGGAGACAAATCATTTTGTATGCTACAATAACTTAAATATATGAAACTTTTAAAAATGTTGTTAATATTTTCTCTGGAGTAAAATGTATTTACCAGACGTCATCCTCATTCATGTCTTGGAGGGAGGTGGGCACCTATATAAGACCAACTTCACTGCAGGATATCAAGAGCTATTTCTCATCTCCACACTGTCAACATGGTTAGTATTAAGAAGCTGTGCAGAATAAAACAAATTAATGTAATATTTCTTTTAAATACAGTTGTGGATTAAATTATAATTGTCAAATAGTAAGCTGTTACTTATGTCCCACACGTCTAGGAATGAAAAAGTAAACTAATAAGCTAATGCAATCCTGATTCATTTCGAAAGAGTTTTGACTGGTTTAATATAGGATCTCAAGTTGTTTCATTTTTTCCGGAATTCCTTCGACTTTCAGTCTCCCCCTCCAATAAAAAAACTTTCAGAAATAAACATCGATTCCTAATGGATGTGTTTGTGCAAATCATTTCTCGCTCTAGAATCGGAAACTTAGTGTATTTTCTTGTAATACTATAATTTAATTCGAATACAAAAGTCCTTCTATCTAATATTATGGAGATAATTGGAGATTTTATATGAGTAATACATAATTTAGCTATTTCTGTATATAAATTTAAAAAAAAATGGATTTAAAGTCCTGATGCGGTTTGCAAGTGAGAATTCGATGAGGATTCAACTAGCTCAGTTCATGCAGATAAAAAGCTTCTATACCTTTTATCAAATCTCATGTTGCGAATACTTTCGAGTATTTAAAAGTAGTTAATATATTTTTTATTTCAGCGTTGCGCCATTACTGGTTTCTGCCTAGTGCTGCTGGTGGCCTCCAGCGTCGCCATGTATGTTAGCCGTAGTAAGTGGATCTACTGGTGGTCGATCCTCTGGGGCACAACGGTGGATATAAGCGCTGTATCTCTGGGGCTACCAGCAGTGGTTGGCGGCGGCTCTTCTGGTGGTAACAATGGTGGATATAGTGGCAGCTCCTCTGGTAGTAACAATGAATTGGATATAGCGGCGGCTCTTCACGCGGTGGTAGCAGCTCCACGGGTGGTGGGCTCTGGCAACTCTGGTGGTTCTTATGGCTACTATGGAAAATAAACAAGTAGCCAATACAGCTTTTGGATCAAACCTCCAAAATAACAACAAGACAGCCTCCCATTCCCGACCAACTCAGTGAAATGTTAAAATATAATGTCTATGTTGTATCTTTCATGGAATATTGTATAGAAAATTATGTAGATGTAATTTAATAAATTTGACTTCATTTTCTGTTCTCTTCTTTATGCTCCTAATATACTTATAAAAAGTCTTGATGTAGTTCATGTATCGATAAAATATCCACAGTCGTCGTCTTCTCCTGTCGGATTAAGAAGACAAGTTTCAACATATTTTGTATCATAAGTTTTTTTTTCACGATTTATTGTTGAGGAAGCTGTTAAACATATATTTAGTTCTTTTTTGAGAATTATTATTGTGTATCCAAACAAATAGTCAATATAGTAAAAAGTAAATTACTTCAGGAGGAAAATTATCACGATTGAGATGAAATATTTTTCTACATGGGAAGACTGATAATGTCTAAAACAACCCAGGAATAACCTTTAAGGCTTTGCTTGTAACTGTGCCACCGAGACAAAAATATCCCTTAAGTGTGTGTATAAAAAATATTGGCCCAAAAATCCTAGAATTTTGTTTGTGTTCATTACCTTACAATCGAGCAATTTTTGCCATCTACAAATTAATTTAAATTCGAGTATTTACGTAAATTAAATAGGATTTGCAGTAAGAAGTAACTAAAAACATTGCTGAGGACTCATGAAGACTAAGCACTCAACCTCCTTTAATTTGATGAATAAACACTCTAGTGCTACCAGCCGGTTATGTTTGATTGGAGTTAGCTTTAGGATGTTTAAGCATCAAATGAAATCATGGGTGCATAATTTCCATGATATTACCATTATAGGAATACCTCGTTGTCACAACAAGTTTTGTATTATAGTTAAAGGACATTAAGACTTAAAAATTATTACTGATTGTATATCTGTATTCATTTTGTGTGCAAATTTTTTTTCAAAAAGACTTAAAGACAGAATTTATGATTTTGTTAAACTCTTTTACCATAAAATGTATGAACATAATGCATTTAGGGTTCTGAATATATTACATGAATCAATGTTCCTGATTTAAGCCAATATATAAAAGTATTCCTTACACAATTATATATACGTTACAAAAATAGGATGGTGTTACGTTGAACTTATGTAATTTACTGTTCAAGAAAAAATAATGTTACAATTGCAATCACGGAATTATGCAGAGAATAAGTTTTTTTTTTCAAGTTGGTTTGAAAAGCTCTAAAACCTTTCCAATAATAGTTATCCTTTCGATTATTTTACATAAAAAATAAAATGCTAAGGTTTTAACAGTTTAATGAAATCTTCAACTGAAAAATTCTGATATTGCCACCGTAACTGAACAGATGTTGATCACTGGTTACCCACCTGAGATATAAATTTCTTATAAAAAGAAAACATAACAGAAAAAGTTGGACTCATCCATTCAATCACTCCTAAGGTTAAGGAAGTAAAAATAAGAGTTACAAATGTCGTCTTAAAGATAAAATACTTCAATTTTATCTATATGTGACTATACTCAAGGCATAATTATTATTAGTCTAATTTTCTGGGAGTTTCCAGCTCACTTAATACAACTTTAAACTCTTCACTGCTTGTTTTTGTTCTCTTTATTCAGTGAAGTTTTTATGTTTAACCAATTGAATGAAGAGTTTATACTTTTTTGTTTCAAGAATAAAAGGAAGTATTGTACAGTATATAACATCAAGAACTCTTTATTATTTTATGTGTAATAACAATATAGAAATTTATTTATTAGGGAGACAAATCATTTGTATGCTACAATAGCAAATATATGTTTTTAAAATGTTATGTTACTATAGATCGATATATTTTACCATGTTTATGTGGATTTACTCGAGTGTCACTTGAAAAAATAGTAAACTATTATTTTTATCAAATTTTCAAGATAAAAACTTTGGCAAACAAAATGAAATACAAAATAACTATTACGCAATTCCTTTTGACATACAAATAAAATTAAAGTTTCAAAAAATACGAAACAATTTGAGTTCAACTATTAATCCGGAGGTGATTGACTAAAAAAAGTGGGTGACTCTGCTACTAGGATAGAATCTGAAGGTATAATAACTTACTTCCTAGAAAATGGAGAAATTTCACTGGAAGATTATGTTACCCTGACTAACACTACCGCTCATGATTTGATGCTTGTGGTTAAACAATGACCTTACGACACGTCATCCTCATTCATGTCTTAAGGAGGGAGGGTAGAGGCTACTACAGTATATAAGACAGACCACACTGCAGGATATCAAGAGCTGTTCTCATCTCCACACTGTCAACATGGTAAGTATTAAGAAGCTGTGCAGAATAAGAACAATTAATATAATATTTCTTTTAAACCTGATTGTGGATTAGAGAATTATAATTGTCAAATAGTAAAAGCCGTTACCTTATGTCACACGTCTAGGAATGAAAAGTAAACTAATAAGCTAATGCAATCTGATTCATTTCGAAGAGTTTTGACTGAACTTTCCAATATAGGATCTCCAAGTTGTTTCAAATTTTATCAGGAATTCCTTCGTCTTCCGATTCCCTCTCCCAATAAAAAAAAAAACTTTCAAATAAACATCGATTCTTAGGGATGTGTTTACGTACCCAAATCATTCTCCTTTAGAATCCAGGAAGCTTATAGTGTATTTTTCTTGTAATACTATAATTTAATTCAGGCCTAGGAATCCTACTATCTAATATTATGGAGATAGTGGAATTTTTATATGAGTAATACATAATTTAGCTATTTCTGTATATAAATTTAAAAAATGGATTTTAAAGTCCTGATGCGGTTTTGCAAGTGAGAATTCCGGTAAGTTCAGTAGCTCCAGTTCATGCAGATAAAAAAGCTTCTGTACCTTTATCCAAATCTCATGTTGCGGAATTCTTTCAGTATTTAAACAAATAGTAAAAAAATATATTTTTTATTTCCAGCGTTGCGCCATTACTGGTTTCTGCCTAGTGCTGCTGGTGACCTCCAGCGTCGCCATGTATGGTAGCCGTAGTAGAAGTGGATCTACTGGTGGTGGATCCTCTGGGGCTTCCAACGGTGGATATGGCAGCAGCTCTCTGGTGGTAACAATGGTGGATATAGCGGCGGCTCTCTGCAGTAACAATGGTGGATATAGCGGCGGCTCTTCTGGTGGTAACAATGGTGGATACAGTGGCAGCTCCTCTGGTGGTAACAATGGTGGATATAGCGGCAGCTCCTCTGGTGGTAGCGGCTCCACGGGTGGTGGCTCTGGCAACTCTGGTGGTTCTTATGGCTACTATGGAAAATAAACAAGTAGCCAGTAACTTTTTTGGATCAAACCTCAAAATATTCAACAACAAGACAGCCTCCCATTCCCGACCAACTCAGTGAAATGTTAAAATATGATGTCTATGTTTGTATCTTTTCATGGAATATTGTATAGAAATTTATGTAGATGTAATTTCAATAAAATTTGACATAATTTCTGTTCTCTTCTTTATGCTCCTAATACTTATAAAAGTCTTGATGTAGTTCATGTATCGATAAAATATCCACAGTCGTCGTCTTCTCCTGTCGGATTAAGAAGACAAGTTTCAACATATTTTGTATCATAAGTTATTTTTTCACGATTTATTGTTGGGGAAGCTGTTAAACAAATATTTAGTTCTTTTTTAAGAAATTATTCTTGTGTATCAAACAAAATAGTCAATATAGTAAAAGTAAATTACTTCAGGAGAAAAATTATCACGATTGAATGAAATATTTACTATGGGGAAGACTGATAATGTCTAAACAGCCCGAATAACCTTTGGAAGCTTTACTTGTAACTGTACCAACAAGACAAAAACATCCCTTAAGTGTGGTAACAAAAAAAATATTGGCCAAAAAAATCCTAGAATTTTGTTTGTGTTCATTACCTAACAATCGAGCAATTTTTCGCCAAATACAAATCAATTTAAAATTCAGTATTTACGTAAATTAAATACTATTAACAGTTGAGTAACTTCCTAAATAAAGCTGAGGACTCATGCAGATTAAGCTCTCAACCTCCTTTAATTTGATGAACAAACACTCTAGTGCTACCAGGGGGTTATGTTTGGTTAGGTTAGCTTTAGGATGTTTAAGCATCAAATGAAATAAATTTGGGATGCCTAATTTTCACACTTGATATCACCATTATAGGAATACTTCGTTGTCACAAGTTTTGTATTATAGTTAAAAGGACCCATTAAGGCTTAAAAAAAATTATTACTGTTTGTAATATCTGTATTCGTTTGTGTACAGAATTTTTTTATTTTTGTTTTTCAAAAGATTTAAAGACGAATTTATGATTTTGTTAAAGTCTTTACCATAAAATGTATGAACATAATGCATTTAGGGGTTCTGAGTATATTACATGAATCAATGTTAAGCAGTTTAAAGCCACTATACAAGTATTCCTTACACAAGTATATATACACATTACAAAAATAGGATGGTGTTACGTTGAACTTATGTTATTTACTGTTAAAAGAAAAATATAATGTTACAATTACCAAACCTGGAACTATGCAGAGAATAAGTTTTTTTTTCCAAGTTGGTTGAAAACAAAACCTTTCCAATAATGGTTATCCTATCGAATATTTTACATAAAAAGATAACATGCTAAGGTTTTCTTTGATTTAATGAAATCTTCAACTGAAAATTCTGATATTGCCACCGTAACTGAACAGATGTTGATCACTGGTTACCCCACCTGAGATATAAATTTCTTATAAAAGAAACATAACAGAAAAGTTGGACTCATCCATTCAATCACTCCTACGGTTAACAAGGAAGTAAAAATAAGAGATACAAATGTCGACTTAAAGATAAAATACTTCAATTATATCTATATGTGACGCTACTCAGGCGCAATTATTATTAGTCTAATTTTCTGGGAGTTTCCAGCTCAACCAATACAGCTTTAAACTCTTCACTGCTTGTTTTGTTCTCTTTATACAGTGAAGTTTTTATGTATAGTAATTGAATGACAGAGAGTTTTCATCATTTTTGTTTCAAGAATAAAGGAAGTATTGTACAGTGTATAACGTAAAGAACTCTTTTATATAATTTTTATATGTAATAACAATATATGAAATTTAGTTATTAGGGAGACAAATAATTTGTATGCTACCTTAACTTAAATATGTTTTAAAATGTTGTTAATATTTTCTCTGGAGTAAAATGTATTTACCATGTTTATGGTTACTCGGAGTGTCACTTGAAAAAATAGTAAACTATTATTTGTATCAAATTTTCAAGTTAAAAACTTGTAAAACAAAATGAAATACAAAATAACTATTACGCAATTCCTTTTTGACATACAAATAAAAATTAAAGTGTCAAAAATAGTAAACAATTTAGAGTTCAACTATTAATCCGGAGGTGATTGACTAAAAAAAGTGGGCGACTCTGCTACTAGGATAAGTCTGAAGTCATAATAACTTACTTCAGTAGAAAATGGAGAAATTTCACTGAAGGTGATTATGTTACCTGACTAATAACACTACCGCTCATGGTTGATGCTTGTGGTTAAACAATGACCTTACGACGTCAGCCTCATTCATGTCTTGGAGGGATGTGAGGCTACTATATAAGACCAACTTCACACTGCAGGATATCAAGAGCTGTTCTCATCTCCACACTGTCAACATGGTTAGTATTAAGAAGCTGTGCAGAATAAGAACAAATTAATGTAATATTTCTTTTAAATACAGTTGTGGATTAAATTATAATTGTCAAATAGTAAAAGCTGTTACTTATGTCCACACGTCTAGGAATGAAAAAGTAAACAAATAAGCTAATGCAATCCTGATTCATTTCGAAAGAGTTTTGACTGGTTTCAATACAGGAACTCAAGTTGTTTTCATTTTTTTCGGAATTCCTTCGTCTTTCAAGTCTCCCCCTCCCAATAAAAAAAAAACTTTCAAATAAACATCGATTCTTATGGATGTGTTTGTGCAAATCATTTCTCGCTTTAGAATCGAAACTTATAGTGTATTTTTCTTGTAATGATATAATTTTATTCGCATGCAAAGTTCTTGTATCTAATATTATGGAGATAATTGGAGATTTTATATGAGTAATACATAATTTAGCTATTTCTGTATATAAATTTAAAAAAAATGGATTTTAAAGTCCTGATGCGGTTTGCAAGTGAAAGTTCGGTAAGTTCAGTAAGCTCCAGTTCATGCAGATAAAAAAAGCTTCTATACTTTTTATCAAATCTCATGTCGTCAATTCTTTCGAGTATTTAAACAAATAGTTAATATAATTTTTATTTCCAGCGTTGCGCCATTACTGGTTTCTGCCTAGTGCTGCTGGTGACCTCCAGCGTCGCCATGTATGGTAGCCGTAGTAGAAGTGGATCTACTGGTGGTCGATCCTCTGGGGCTACCAACGGTGGATTTGGCGGCGGCTCTTCTGGTGGTAACAATGGTGGATATAGCGGCGGCTCTTCTGGTGGTAACAATGGTGGACATAGTGGCAGCTCCTCTGGTGGTAACAATGGTGGACATAGCGGCGGCTCTTCTGGTGGTAACAATGGTGGATATAGTGGCAGCTCCTCTGGTGGTAACAATGGTGGTGGATATAACGGCGGCGGCTCTTCTGAGGTGTTAGCGGCTCCACGAATGAGTGGCTCTGGCAACTCTGGTACCGGATATATAGCTGCCTATGGAAAATAAACAAGTAGCCAGTAACTTTTGGATCAAACCTCAAAATATTCAACAACAAGACAACCTCCATTCCCGACCAACTCAGTGAAATGTTAAAATATAATGTCTATGTGTATCTTTTCCATGGAATATTGTATAGAAATTTATGTAGATGTAATTTCAATAAGTGACATTTCTGTTCTCTTCTTTATGCTCCTAATATATAAAGTCTTGATGTAGTTCATGTATCGATAAAGTATCCACAGTCGTCGTCTTCTCCGGTCGGATTAAGAAGACAAATTTCAATATATGTTGTATCATAAGTTTTTTTCACGATTTATTGTTGGGAAGCTGTTAAAACAAATATTTAGTTCTTTTTTGAAATTATTCTTGTGTATCAAACAAAATAGTCAATATAGTAAAAATAAGAATTACTTCGGGAGAAAAATTATCGATTGAATGAAATATTATTTACTAGCAGGAAGACTGATAATGTCTAAAACAGCCCAGGCTGCTTTTGGAAGCTTTACTTGTAACTGTACCAACAAGACAAAACATCCACTTATGTGTGGTAACAAAAAATATTATTTAAAAATCCTACAAATTTTTGTTTGTGTTCATTACTGCCTAATCGAGCAATTTTCGCCAAATACAAATCAATTTAAAATTCAGTATTTACGTAAATTAAATACACTATTAACAGTTGGTAACTTCCTAAATAAGCTGAGGACTCATGCAGATTAAGCACTCAACACTCCTTTAATTTGATGAACAAACACTCTAATGCTACCAGCAGATTGTGTTTGGTTAAGGTTAGCTTTTGGGATGTTTAAGCATCCAAATGAAATAAATTGGGATGCCTAATTTTCACACTTGATATATCACCATTATAGGAATGCTTCGTTGTCACAACAAGTTTTGTATTATTATAGTTAAAAGGACCCAATAAGGCTTAAAAAATTATTACTGTTTGTAATATCTGTATTCGTTTGTGTACAGAATTTTTTTGTTTTGTTTTTCAAAAGATTTAAAGACGAATTTATAATTTTGTTAAACTCTTTACCATAAAATGTATGAACATAATGCATTTAGGGTTCTGAATATATTACATGAATCAATGTTAAGCAGTTTAAAGCCACTATACAAGTATTCCTTACACAAAGTATATTATACACATTATAAAAATAGGATGGTGTTACGTTGAACTTATGTTATTTACTGTTAAAAGAAAAAATATAATGTTACAATTACCAAACCTGAACTATGCAGAGAATAAGTTTTTTTTTTTCAAGTTGGTTGAAAACAAAACCTTTCCAATAATGGTTATCCTATCGAATATTTTACATAAAAGATAACATGCTAAGGTTTTCTTTGATTTAATGAAATCTTCAACTGAAAATTCTGATATTGCCAGCAGCCTTTGAACAGATGTTGATCGCTGGTTTTACCTGAGATATAAATTTCTTATAAAAGAAACACTTAACAGAAAAGTTGGACTCATCCGTTAATCACTCTAAGGTTTAACAAGGAAGTAAAATAGAGTTACAAATGTCGTCTTAAAAGATAAATGCTTCAATTTATCTATATGTGACGCTACTCAGGCACAATTATTATTAGTCTAATTTTTCTGGGGTTCCAGCTCAGCCAATACAACTTTAAACTCTTCCCTGCTTGTTTTGTTCTCTTTATTCAGTGAAGTTTTATGTATTGTAATTGAATGACGAAGTGTTTTTCATCATTTTTCATTTCAGAATAAAGGAAGTATTGTACAGTGTATAACGTAAACTCTTTTTATATAATATTTATATGTAATAACAATATATGAAATTTAGTTATTAGGAGACAAATAATTTGTATGCTACAATAACTTAAATATATGTTTTTAAAATGTTGTTAATATTTTCTCTGGGTAAAATGTATTTACCATCTTCACTTAGTCATAGGTATACTTGAAAAATAGTAAACTATTATTTTTATCAAATTTTCAAGATAAAAAACTTGGCAAAACAAATGGAATACAAAATAACTATTGCAATTTCTTTTTTGACAAACAAATAAATTTAAAGTGTCAAAAATATAAACAATTTAGAGTTCAACTATTAATCGGAGGTGATTGACTACAAAAAGAAGTAGGCGACTCTGCTAGGATAAGTCTGAAGGTATAATAACTTACTTCAGTAGAAAATGGAAAATTTCACTGAAGGTGATTATGTTACCCTGACTAATAACACTACTTTCATGGTTGATGCTTGTGGTTAAACAATGACCTTACGACGTCATCTCATTCATGTCTTGGAGGGAGAGTGCGAGGCTACTATATAGACCGCTTCACACTGCAGGATATCCAGAGCTGTTCTCACCTCCACACTGACAACATGGTTGGTATTAAGAAGCTGTGCAGAATAGAACAAATTAATGTAATATTTCTTTTAAATACAGTTGTGGATTTAAATTTATAATTGTCAAATAGTAAAAGCTGTTACTTATGTCCACACGTCTGGAATGAAAAAAGCAAACTAATAAGCTAATGCAATCCTGATTCATTTCGAAAAGAAGTTTTGACTGGTTTCTATTACAGTATCTCAAGTTATTTTCATTTTCAGGAATTTCCTTCGTCTTTCAAGTCTCCCTCCCAAAAAAAAAAAACTTTCAAAATAAACGTCGATTCTAATGGATGTGTTTGTACAAAACATTTCTCCTTTTGGAAATCAGAAACTTATAGTGTATTTTTCTTGTAATACTATAGCAAAATTCGAATACAAAAGTTCCTTGTATCTAATATTATTTAGATAATTGGAGATTTATATAAAAATACATAAATTTGCTATTTGTATATAAATTTAAAAAATGGATTTTAAAGTCCTGATGCGGCTTACAAGTGAAAGTTCGGTAAGTTCAGTAAGCTCCAGTTCATGCAGATAAAAAAGCTTCTATTCCTTTGCCAAATCATGTTGCCAGATTCTTTCAGTATTTAAACAAATAGTTAATATATTTTTATTTCCAGCGTTGCGCCATTACTGGTTTTTCTGCCTTGTGCTGCTGGTGACCCTCCAGCGTCGCCATGTATAGTGGCAAAGTAGAGAGTGGATCTACTGGTGAATTACGGATCCTCTGAGACTCAACGGTGGATATGGCAGCAGCTCTTCTGGGGCTACCAGCGGTGGATTTGGCAGCTCTTCTGCCAGGTGGTAACAATGGTGGATATGGTGTGGCTCCTCTGGTGGTGGCACAATGGTGGATATAGCGGCGGCTCTTCTGAGGTGGTAACAATGGTGGATATAATGAAAAGCTCCTCTGGAGGCCAACAATGGTGGTTGGCGGCGGCTCTTCTAACGGTGGTAACAATGGTGGATATAGTGGCAGCTCCTCTGGGTGAGCAATGGTGCTGGAGTATATGGCAGCTCTTCTGGTGTTAGCAGCTCCACGGGTGGTGGCTCCGCAACTCCTGAAAAATTCAGTTTCTTATGGCTACTATGGAAAATAAACAAGTAGCCAGTAACTTTTTGGATCAACCTCAAATATTCAACAACAAGACAGCCTCCCATTTCCCGACCAACTCCAGTGAAATAATATAATGTCTATGTTTGTATCTTTTCATGGAATATTTTATAGAAATTTATGTAGATGTAATTTCAATAAAATTGACTTTATTCTAAACTCTTCTTTATGCTCTAATACTTATAAAAGTCCTTGATGTAGTTCATGTATCGATAAAATATCAATCGTCGTCGTCTTCTCCTCGGATTAAGAAGACAAGTTTCAATATATGTTGTATAAGTTTTTTTCACGATTTATTGTTGGGAAAGCTGTTAAACACTAGTTCTTTTTGAGAAATTATTCTTGTGTATCCAAACAAAATAGTCAATATAGTAAAAGTAAATTACTAAAGAAGAAATATTATCACGATTGAATGAAATATTTACTATAGGAAGATAATGTCTAAACAGCCGAATAAGTTTTGGAAGCTTTACTTGCTAACACTGTACCCCGCAGACAAAAATATCCCTTAAGTGTGGTAACAAAAAAAAATATTGGCCCAAAAATCCTAAATTTTTTGTGTTCATTACCTTACAATCGAGCAATTTTCGCCATCTACAAATTAATTTAAATTCAGTATTTACGTAAATTAAATAGAATTTACAGTAGAGTAACAACTCCTAAATAATGCTGAGGACTCATGAGATTAAGCACTCAACCTCCTTTAATTTTGATGAATAAACACTCTAGTGCTACCAGGGGTTATGTTTGGTTAGGTTAGCTTTAGGATATTTAAGGATCAAATGAAATAAATTTAGGGGTGTCTAATTTTCACACTTGATATACCATTATATAGGAATACTTCGTTGTCTAACAAGTTTTCTTATTATAGTTAAAAGGACCCATTAAGGCTTAAAAAATATTTCTGTTTGTAATATCTGTATTCGTTTGTGTGCAATTTTTTTCAAAAAAGATTCCCAAAGACAATTTATGATTTTGTTAAACTCTTTACCATAAAATGTATGAACATAATGCATAGGGGTTTGAATATATTACATGAATTAATGTTAAGCGATTTAAAAGCCACTATACGTGTTACCACACAAGTATATATACACGTTACAAAATAGGATGGTGTTACGTTGAACTTAGTTATTTACTGTTAAAAGAAAAAAATAATGTTACAATTACCAAACCTGGAATTATGCAGAGAATAAGTATTTTTTTTCAAGTTGGTTTAAACAAAACTTTCCAATAATAGTTATCCTATCGATTATTTTACATAAAAAAAATAAAATGCTAAAGGTTTCTTTGTTTATTAAATCTTCAACTGAAAATTCTGATATTGCCACCGTAACTGAACGAATCAATATTTGATCACTGGTTACCCCCCACCTGATATAAATTTCTTATAAAAAGAAACCTAACAGAAAGGTT